ATTAAATCTAACACATGAATTACTAGTGTCTAATCCACATTATTTGGTTACCAAGAAAAGGATTAAGAAGAAACTTGGAGTTTGTTTAGTTGGTCACTTTTTCAAAAAGGGAATTCACGATAGTCGACTAAAAATTTAGTTGGCTTGGCTTAGGATGTCACTTTCTTAGCATGTAGATTGACATATAATATAATGGGTTATAGAAGGAAATGTAATGCATTATAATCGCATCTTCTCTAAAAAGTTTTAAACACGTAGGTTGAGATATAATATTATTATTTATAAAAAAAGTGTAATGCATTATATTCACCTTTTTAAAAAGTTTCTTTTTTAAAGAAAGTGGATATAATTGATTATAAAAAAAATAATAAATTATATTAATATAATTACTTTTTTTTTATACCAGGTAGATGGTTAAGAAGTTAGTAGAGTTAGTTTTGTTAGCCACTGAAATATTTTTTTTTTGACCAGGTAGATGGTTAAGAAGTTAGTAAAGTTAGTTTTGTTAGCCGTTGGAATTTTCCAGGATAGTGAACATTCCACCTCATCATATGAGGCACGCGATCATTAAGTTGTAAGTTGGTGGAGTTCATGGCGGTGACAGATTTCAAAGCACTGACTTTCGCCTCACCCGAACCCTAAGACTTAGGGACCAACTATTGGGCCTCAGGTTCGGTTGGTATAATTACTTATTTTTAAAAATAATTAATTCTATTATAAATATAATCTATTACTTTTTTCTTTATAACTAATTATATTGTGTTTTGATTTATGTATAAAAAAATTAATATCCTAAACTAAACTAATTAAATTTTTAATCGAATTCTTCAAATTCTTTTAAAAATAAGTGAGCAACCAAATAGGTTTTAAAGCTTTCTTTCCTCAAGAAAATTTGAAAAGCAGAGCTCAATCAAAGTCGAGATCGTTTCCTAATTTTTACTACTGTTACTGTTTCAAAACTGGGATTATGCCCCTAATTTTTTACAATCCTCAAACTAACGACATTAATAACAATGTTGTGATGGGATGAACCATGAAGGACAGAAAGCAAGTTATTGGCCCCAAAACAAACCCCATGCGGGACCAACAACGAGTACCCAACAATAATTGCTTGGAGGCTAGGGACTTGAGCTTGACTTGACTCCTCTTCTTCTTCGTCTTCCTTCTTTTATTTATTTATTTTTTTTAGGGGGAGGACTCCGGTAGACTTCGTTTTCGTATTTCTCATTGGGTTAAATTTCATTTTGGTCCCCAAACTTTAATTTTTAGACCAATTTGATCCTTAAGCTTCAAAAATTACCAAAATCATCCTTAAACTTTAATTTTCTATTAACAACTTGATCCTTCCATTAGTTAAATGTTGATATAGACGGTTAAGTGATTTTATAATACAAAATTTTAAACTTAAAATATTACATGAAAATTTTGAATTCATTTTATTATTGAGAAGATGGATAATTTTTTTTTTCTATGTATGACTTCTCTTTATAAAGTTTGATAGTAATTAATTAATACTAATGCTAATTAGTATTTTATCCACTCACTTCAAAAGTGTGAGTCTACTAATGCTACATTGCTACTTCAATTATTATCTTACCTTAATTATCTTTTTAATGTATAGTTATCATAATTTTTTTATTAAATTAAATTAAATACAATGAGACCCACACTTAATTAATCATTCACTTTTCTCTCTTCTCCAACATATCCTTCTCTTTGTCTCCCACGTCATCGCAATGAAAATAACTTTAATTACCCGAAAAGCAAACATAAAATAAGTCAAATTTCAATTGTACTAGAGAAAGCAATTCCAAACTTCTAACATGTCTAAAATTTTTTAGATATGCAAAAATCCAAATCTAGATTCCAATTTTGGGCCATTTGGTTTGAGAACCCATTCAGCCACATTCCTCT